CTGTACCTCATCGTGCACAAATCATCCTTAATTGTTTCAAGTTCGTTAAATATTTTTCTACGCGGTTGCACGTTTCGACAAAAATATAATACAATAACGTATCGGTTTGTTTCCAGATCATCCTATCTTGTTAGATTATGAACATGTCTATGTTATGGAGTAAAAATTATGGCCCCAATTAAGTCTGGCATAATCAGCTAATCAACGGTTATTCTTTGAAAGACAGCATGAGCTCCACCTTTGAATTCACTATATATGAGTAAATTGTTAAACACGTCCGAATTTATCAATACGATAAATTCGCGTCACCTAACCACTAATACTAACCCTAACCCTAACCACTAACCCCTAACGCCTAACCACTAACTCCTAAACCTAATCTAACTTTTTAAAACTTTTTGAAAATCTAATTTGAAAATTTTCCAAAATTTTTTAGGAATTGTAATACACAATAAACAATATATATACAATATACATGAACGGTTTTGTATGTTTTGTATATAATGATGTCGGTTATTCAAAACAGTTTGAAATTTTATCCACCTTAATCTGAAGATTTTCGTTAATAATTGGAAATTTCTTCCACACGCAAAGGCCAGTTGCGTTGAACAAAACGTTTCTGCGTTGACGTTATGCTGATGTTTAATATTGTTTATTGAATGTTGACATACACTTGCATGCATGGAAGAGGGGAATGTGACAAATGATCATGAAATTTAATAACAATTTCGAGTATTATTGCGGAACACACTTAATTACGTACCCAAAAACGAAATTCAATTGTGCTCATAGGAAACTACAGAGTGTAGTTTTTCAATTGATATGTGGCCGTACATTTAAATTGTTCTTTATCCGCTTATAATTTCATGAGCTGGAAAAAACTAAATTACATATTGCATGCATATATCTGAAGCCAAATCATAAAACAATAACAAAATATTTTCCCCGAAAATGTTTGGCCAGATATAACATCAAACCATGGCATCTTTTTAAATGTATAATTTGCATTAATTTTTAAGTAATATACAATAAATTGAGGTGTTTTATGCCCAAGTAGAAGTAGCAACAACCACACAATGCTGGTTCCTTTTGTTTGTCACTATTATTTTATAGACATACAATTCACTATCACACCAAAAGAACACTATATCACGCTTTTTGATCAGTTGCAGTCCGCTTTCATCGAGTAAAAGGTGATGGTTTTACGCGTTGTGTTTCTGGTTGTTTTACCAATAATAAAAGAAAAAGGAGGAATATTCCCTGCATTTGTTATTAGTCGATAAGTCGTTGGTATAGGCTTTGAAACATTCAGATCTGGCTCATGTATAGGTTTTACATCCGGCTCCTGCAAAATGCAAAGAATACAATATATAGCCTGGTGTTGAAAAGAAATATTTGCAGGGAACTCAAATTACGCACTTCTCAAAGTCACAAAGCCTCGCCAATCGGTGAGGCTTTTAGGGTCCAGTGCAAACCAGAGCTTTATTCTTAGCAAACTCTCACTCTTGAATAATTGCGTAAGCAAAGTTTTTCTTCACACTTGCTATCGGCGCCGAATATTCAACATCATGAATAATTTTTGTTATGAATGACGATTTTCTGCGCACAGTGTGCAATATTATGCGAATACGCATGCGAATTACATGCGTCCTACAAACTAAAATGGCGGCTAATATTGATTACAAGGTTGATCACGCATGCGTATCCGCATAGTATTATACGCTCTTTGCTTTCCCTGTGCGCGCATTTAGAAAGACGTCGTCACTCGTGCCAAACTGCATGTTTCGGCTTCCGCTCCGATAGCACGCGTGAAGAAACTCTGAAACTGTGTGCCCCGGGGTAATGAAAAGTAGTAACCCAGTGAGAATAGGAACCTTGTAAGACTATGTGCATTGTATAGTGTGTCACAAACACAGTCAGAGCAGCCGATGTAAGTCAGAACAGGCTGCCATACAATAGTACAATTAGAGCACTGTGTCTTCAAGTTTAGGAAACTACCTAGCTTGTCTTAAGGACTTATTGTGTGTCTCTTATCTTGAAATGATTCAATGTCTTTTTAAAAATGCTAAAAATTGTCTTTCTAAGAACGCTAAACAAAATTTCCATGTGGATAGCATATCCAGACCCTACAGATTTGAGTTGTTGGAAGCCAGGCTAGGCTAAACAAGTTAGCGACAAAGTTGTGCTATTTACATAAACATACCATGCAAGTACTTAACTGAACATTCAGTCTATCTGCAGTATAATATAAACGTTGTATATCCAGAAAACTGTGGCAGAAAACGTACGAAATGCAGTCTCAAAATGCAAAAATTTTCTGCCCCTGACCACGTACTACTACTTATCACACAGAACGTTTTCTCACCAACAACTATCTGTCATCTCTCCACATTCAGTATAGTACGGTACCTTTTTGTAGAGCCCCCTGACAAATTCACAAAAAAGGCCCTGCGCAGTTACCATGTTAATTTAATGTATCATATATACACTGTCGGAATTCTATAGTGTCGAAAACAACATTGATCTACGCTTGGTATGGATGGTGGGCAATGAAGTAAATATCCAAACAAAATGTGCACACACGAAACACTAACTTGGATTATAAGTGCGGTTCCCTTTACAGGTTGCAAATAGTTTTTGCGCATACGACTGCAGGCACTAATTGATTCTATTTAAAGTGTATTTTGTCATTGCCAGTCTTATTAGAATGCTGTTTTTAGTGTTAGTAATCGCAGTCGTTCTGGTCAGGTCTTAATGTGTATATATACAACAAATGCAGATTTCGTGCTCGACCAATCAGCGCATTTGTTTACATTTTCGCTCTCAGCTAATCATAATGAGGAAACGGGTAATTTACACGAAGGCAAACTAGAAAATTTTGCCGTCTTCTTCCGTGACATTTAATTTTAACTTTTTAAATTTAATACCAAAAGATTATGATATAGCACATTAAAATCTAAAACTTTGCCGTGAGGATTTTTAAATTTCGACCTAGAACGGAAAATATCCATGTTTGAAATTTTTCCCTATGTCACGTATACAATTTTGAGTCATCTAATTTGACTGCAATAGACCTTAAAATTGCTATATTTTCCCAGCTTTACGTTTTTGTGGGAAAACTATTTTCCGCTCTTGTTGAAAATCGTTTTTGTCAATGTATTATTTCATAACCTAGATGAAAGCGCTTTAGAGAGACTGATTTTCTGCAAAATCGGTCGGACAATATTTTTGTATTGATTTCCCGCATGATCGCGAGCATGGAACTATTTTTTTTTAAATCAGGCGCTATATATACGCCTTTTGAAATAAAGCATTGACCAAAACAATTTGCAACAAGAGCGAAAAAGAGTTTTCCAACAAAAACTTAAATGCAGAGAAAATATAGCAATTTTTAGTTTTATTGCAGTCAAATTATTACTCAAATTTGCATACATAGGGAAGGATTTAAAACATGGATATTTTCCGTTTTAGATGCATATTTTAATGTGTTATACTGTATCATAATCTTTTGGCTTTAAATTTAAAAAGTTAAAATTGAATGTCACGGAAGCTCGAGAAAACGGCAATATTTTCTAGTTCGCCTTAGTGTAAATTTCGCGTTTCCTGGTCACTCCAGACATGGTTCGATGGTTCATAAAATCAATTTAAATATAATTTAGCGATACTTTATTTACTTTTCCTTGTTTATATTTCAAGGTTTTGTTTTTATTTAGCCTATGTGCGAATTGATGACATTGATACGTAACGTTAATTGTTTTAAGAATTCCCGCCCGAAAATATGCTTGTAATTGCCCGTTTGTGGGTCATAACGCAATCGAATATAGCATAGAAAATAGCATCCTTCAGAAATACCCCGTAGCGTGCATGCTGCCCATGTATGGTCAATTTTCGCTACGGTCAGATTCGACCTTAATGAATCTGACCGTAGCGAAAATTGGCATATACGGCATTCTGATTGGTTTGCTACGGTCGAACGTAGCAAACCAATCAGAATGGGGCAAATGCTATAGTTTGCTACGGTGGCATGAAATTGGCTACTGCTCCAGAACGATGGAAATATCTGATATTTGTGTTTGGCTCATCAACAACATGCTGAGGGAAGCTACAATACGGCTGTGCGCATTTGGAAATGAAAGCCGCCGTAAAGAATATAAATAAGTCGAGGTAGAAATAAAATGAAAGAGTAAAACGAATAATTTCCAGTCAGGTAAGCCTTGTGAATAATAAGAGATGCACATGAATATTTAATATGAGGTATACTGTAGTGTTCGCTGTTAACTTCGCTTTAAGCGTTTGTGCGCGTATCAGTGTACAGTATACCTGCTTGTATCGGACTTAATATGCGAATTATGATACGGCGCATATATCGTGTTTTACAGCGCCCTAATATTTGTTTGTAATGCGTATTCGTATGATACGCGTATTCATATGATACGCGTACCGTATTTACTCGTTTGAGCGCCGCCCCCGATTGAGCGCCGCATTTGAGATCAAATTTTTTTAAAGAGCGCCGTCCCCGAATGAACGCCGCACTAAACAGTGTAAAAACTTTCCACCATCAAAATGGGGACATTTAGGGACACTTGTTTATTTTATTGTTAAAAATTCTTCTTATAATTCACAAATAAAAGTCTTTTTAAAGAGCCCCCCCCCCTTGAGCGCCGCCCCCAAATGAGCGCCGCATCTGAAGCTCTGAAAATTTAAAGAGCGCCGCGGCGCTCAAACGAATAAATACGGTATTCGTACGATACACGTATTCGTATGATACGCGTATTCCTATGATGACCGTTCGTCTTATTCTTTAAACAATATGTTATATGTGCAATGCATTTGAATATATTAAATACTACAAATTAACCACGCTGTCCACAAGTCACTAAATTTTATCGGCCTAAATTAATCACATCACAAAAAAAGAAATGTATTTCATGGAGCTAAAGTATATTAATTGACGTATACAAGTGAGCAGCTTTGAACATTCCTCATTGCGCACATTTTACGTCATTCTTTAAACCATCTTTCATTTCTTCTTCCTCGACAATTTTTAACATATCCTCAAGCGCAGACCTCAGATCCAACTCGTTCGCGCTTGCCGAGAGATCTCGCAGTGACAAATACTGATCGTCCTCATCATCGTGAAGTTCAAGGCTCACTTTTGGATCAGTTTCTCCAGTGCTAACGTCATTCGCGGCTGGATCACATGCATCCCCAACGGACATAATGGCTTCCTTCTCTTCCAAAACACTCGGTCGCGATTCCTTTCTATGCTCTCAAACGCTTTGAAAATGCTGCTCTCTCACAGCACTATATATTGCTAGTCCAATATCTTTGAGTGTCTTGTCAGTTTCACACCAGACCACAAAACACTCCATTTTCGCTGGTGTTTTCTCCATGTGATGATTAAACGCAAGCAGCTGAACATCTGATTGGTATAATATTTTCAGCTGATTTTTTCTGTTTCTCCTTCCTATGATACGCGTATTCGATTGATACGCATATCATCCAATATACCCTCTTCCACCCTTCCTAATTTTAGTGTCCCCTACGTCGAAGGTGTGTGGTTAAAACTCAGACCTTACCGACTACCTCGCGAACTATCCTGCATCTTTGTTGGCGTGATTTACCATCCACCACTAGCAGACAACAATATCCTGCAAGATTACCTTACTTCCACGGTAGATAAATTATTATTAGAGCATCCTAACGCAGGAATTATGATATTGGGTGATTTTAATCATTTTGACTACAAAACATTATGTCGCCATTCCTTCTTGAAACAAACTGTTAAGAAACCTACCAGGCAATCAGCCATTTTAGATTTGATCTTAACCAATATGCACAAGTGGTACAACGAACCTGAAATCCTACCAGCAATTGGCTTGTCTGACCACCTGTCCGTTCTTGCTACTCCTGCTGTTCAAGCAAAACAACCCAATAATATTATTAAGAAAACTGTACGTAAAACAAAAACGTCTAGCATAACATCACTTGGAAAATTCGTCAAGTCATTGGACTGGAGTCACCTTTACCGCTTATAGATACATTCCTGCCAAAGAAAAAGGTTAAAGTTCATTGTAGGGATAAACCATGGATCACTCCGGATTTGAAAAAGCTTATATCAGACAGACAACATGCATTAGCTGCAGGGAATCGTAATTTGTATAATCAACGTAGAAATGATGTCCGCAGAGCAATAAAACAAGCAAAACCTTCCTATTTTCAAACTCAGGTTAAACATCTTAAAACCGCTGATCCATCGAAATGGTGGAAAGCCGTGAAAAATCTGGCAGGCTACACTTCAGATAAGTCTTTTCATTCTGTGATCAATGACAACCGAATATTAGAAGGTAAAGACCTAGCAAACGCTATCAATGAATCATTTGTTGCTGTTAACAAGTCTATGCCCCTCTTTCCGAATTCGATAAACAATTCCTTATAACCCCTTGCGAATACCACATCCCAGTCGAACTAATTAAACGTCGCTTAGAAAAATTTAAAATATCAAAAGCGCCAGGCCCTAATAGTATACCTAATTGGCTACTAAAAGAATTCTCGGCTAAACTTGCTACACCAGTGGCATCTATCTTTAATGCCTCCATTGCCCAAGCTCAAGTACCTTCACAATGGAAAGCGGCTGACATTATCCCTATTCCAAAGACCCACCCAGTACAGGATATTAACAATGACCTCAGACCAATATCTCTCACTCTACGTTATCTAAAGTTTTAGAGTCATTTAATGCAGAATGGATCCGTGATAGCATCTGCCAGAAACTCGATCCAAAACAGTTCGGAGCAATTCGCGGCTCCTCTTCAGTTGATGCCTTAATTAGCTTACTCCACTCCCTATACGCTGACTCAGATGGAAATGGTAAAACTGTGCGTTTATTCCTACTGGACTTCAGCAAGGCTTTCGATCGGATTAACTATAAGATACTAATCACAAAGATGCGCAAATTGGATATAAACCCATCCGTTATCAATTGGGTAATTGACTTTTTGTCCGGAAGGAGACAGCGGATTAAAATGGGTAACGTATTTTCAGATTGGTCTGCAGTAAACGGTGGGGTACCCCAAGGAACAGTGCTCGGTCCTATACTCTTCTTAATTATGATAAATGACTTGGTTACCGAGCATGATCGAAGGTGGAAATTTGTGGATGATACAAGTGTCTCTGAAGTTATTAATAAAGGTGAGCAAGGGAAGATGCAATCCCTTGTTAATGCGATAAACAGCTGGTGTATAAAGAATGACATGAAACTTGATCAATCTAAGTGCAAAGATATGATCATGTCGTTTGCGAAAGATCCTCCAAAACTGGACCCAATCTTCGTAAACAATCACGAACTAGTTCCTGTATCTTCGGCAAAAATCCTAGGCACTTATATTTCCACAGACTTGAAATGGAACGCACACATAAACTATATTGTATCCAAGGCTTCTAAGCGCCTATATTTTTTACGCATGTTAAAACGGGCTGGACTGGATCATACATCCCTTTTAACCGTCTATACTACCTGCATAAGATCAGTCCTCGAATACGGTTGCCAATTATGGAACTTTGGTGCTTCCCAATACCTTTCTGATGACGTCGATCGGGTCCAAAAGCGAGCACTAAGAATAATTTATCCTGACCTATCTTACAGGAAGGCCTTGGAAGTTATTCCGCTTCCAAGTCTTTCGCAAAGATGAGATAAACTTTGCAGATCACACTTTAAAAGAATGACTAAACCAAGTCATAAATTGTACGATCTTCTCCCTGACAAACGTACTAACAATCTTAGAAATAACGACAATTTTACACACAGTTGGTCTTGTACCAACCGTTTTAAAAATAGTTATATACCAAGTAGTGTAGTATCTTTTAATACCTATAAGTCTTAATAAACTATATAATATATAATCATATCTTAATTACTAGTCTTTAACTTGTAATTTTATAAACTGTATTTTTAGAACATTGATGTAAACCGAGCAATTCAGCTTTGTAGCTGCAAATCGTTTTTTTGTATAATAATATAATATATAATAATATATACGCGTATCGTACCAGGGCGCTCTGATAATATGTTAAGATATACGCGAGCGATACTGTACTTTTTACTTTTTGAGATCTTTCTTATTTTTGCTTGACAAATGAGTACAGTGAGGCCAAATTTAATGGTCATATTCAGTGCTCAGAACCAGTGGCGTAGCCAGACCTTCATTTTTATTTTTTTTTGGGGGGGGGGCGAAGCGAACGCCGAAGGCGCGAGACCGTCTTGGGGGTCCGGGGGCATTCTCCTCCGGAAAAATTTTGAAATCTGGAGTCCCTCAATGGCGATTTCCCGAGTTTCTGGGGTGAGATTTTGCATAATTCTGGAGGTTATTTACTGCAAGAAAGACCTGTTTTTAATGATTTCTCAAACATGTTACTTGCTACTCCTGAAAATGTTTGAAGAAGGGAAAAAACAGGAAAAATTTTGAATTTCAAGATTTGTTAATAAGAACAGTTCACGTACTTTAATTAAGACGACTTTCAAAGGAAGCAACAACCACAGAAAACCGGCATTACTGAAGTAATTTCAGCATCGCGAATAGTAGTAATTTTATTAATAACATAAAATATATACAAGCGCCCCAAAACTGATCTTACTTCTATGCATATGTATTGTTTGTAAGAACGAGTTAAGTTCTTGAAGACTTCTAAAACATGTGGTATTGTCATACTAAATTCATTCTTCTCGGAAATATGTCCACAAAATCCTGAACCAGCTTTTCTACGTCTAGCTCTTCCATTATGTCAGATTCTACTGACATAATCATTAGACTTTGTAGCCTTTCTTGGTTCATCGTTGATCTCAACCGAGATTTGATAAGCTTGAGCTTTGAAAATGCCCTTTCTGCACTACAAGATGTGAGCGGCAGCGTTAGAGCAATTTCCATCAATTTTATGGTAGTACCATAACACTCTGGTTCCTCATTCAATACTATGAATAGGTCAACAAAGGTGGCTCTTCGTTTCTCAGACTCTGCTTTTTTCAGCACGCCAGTGAGCAATGATGAGACTTGCAGGGAAAATATTTCGGTTTGAAGAGCATCTATATCCAGGTCTTTCTGGAACCACTTAACTGCCACAGAGATTTTTCTCCAGTATAAATAATATAAATTCGTTTCGAATTTAATTAAAATGTCCTGTATGAGGTGTGGCAACGATATCGGGAACTTGGACAATTTTTGTGCTCAACGTGGTGAAGGTTTTTCGGAATAATTTTGAATTAACAGCTTGTCTATAAATTTGGAAATATTTCTTCAGAGATCTTGTCTGGATCGATAGGAGTTTATTTATCTGAAGTTTTGAAATAAACAGACGTGTATAAATACATAAACTAAAACAGCAGGTTAAATTTTAACCCAGGGTTAGTGCTAATCCAACTTTGAACAACCGGCCCCAGGGGACTAAATAATATTGATAACTGCAGTGGCGGAAATTCACGACAACCCCCCCCCCCCCATCTGCACTCGTTTTTAGCCCTCTTTTATGTCAAAATTTCCGAAAATTCGTCAATTTTCCGTGAAGGTGGGGGTGCAGCCGCCCCGCCCCACCAAGATTTCCGCCATTGATAACTGTCTTCCGAAACTGTTTCATAGTTAGACATGATGGCGAGGAAAATCAGGGTAATCTTTAAAACGTCGATCGGAGACAAGTAAAGCAAAGCAAAAATTGCGAAATTCGGGAATTTGAAATTATAAATGCCGACTACCTTGGATGACGTCAATCTCGTAAAACTAGCAGTCGAACACGCCCGTTTGCAGAGCATGCTCGGGGAACGAGATTGGATTGGAATGAAAACGCGCTAGACCCATGCTCTTTGTCTTTACAAAATACGACGGCGTCGGACCTTTGGCGCTGGACCATCTAAAGCTGAATTCAAAGCGCCATAAAAGTCGAAGGATTTGCTCAAATTTAATATTTTGCATTGAAATACTAGAAATCATGCCAAGATTTGATATAGCAAAAAAATGTTTGAAGCATTAGGGGCACTTTAATAACGTTAAATTTAATGGACGGGAAAAACAAAGTATTTAGCGCGCAAGCCCAGCATCATAGGCGTAGAGACTACAGTGACAACATAACATTGTTGTATACTGTAGTTATTTTAATCCCTGCGGAATTTTCATGATTTCCATGCAATCTCGTACGAGATTGTACGCAGTAAAATCCAAGATTGTGGCCAATGTTGAATTTCAGGATTATTATGCGTAGGGTCAGGGTTAGACGTTTAGGACTAGTACTTAGTATCAGACTTATGGTCAGTATTTATTCAGTGACTACTACATTTTGTGAGTGGAGGACAACGCATCATTTGATTTAGTTCCTTAATTAAGTTACAGTGTAACAATCAGGAAACAGGAAATTTTCTCAGGAAGAATAATGAGCCATGCATTGCATGTTCCATTAAGCCTCATTTGCATCCCACGTTTTCTTAAATATTTCACTGTGATGACCTCTGACAACAGAACATCGACTTCAGAACATTTTATTTATTGGTACCCCTCATTACCAACTGTAATTTATAGGGCCTGTTTTATTACAAGCATGGGGAAGGGTAAAAGTGAAACATCACCAATTACCCTCCCTCATGTACACAATAACTAAACAGTTGTTAACCGCCAATAGTACTAACAATTATTTTGTAAATTTATTTTAAGACTTGCGTAACATCAACAGCTCTGACACTTCTGCTCGGACTCGACAGAATCGGAACATTCCGAAGATAGTGTTGATGAAGAAAGCATCATAAAGTACTATTTTAACAGAGGGTTTGAATATGAAGAGATACTTAAATTTCTAGAAAAACACCATAATTTGATTATCAGTTACAACACTCTTCTGAGGAGGCTCAAACAGTATGGACTAAGCAGAAAGATGCAAGTAACTGATAACACTATAAATGTGGTTAGAGATATCTACTATCCTTGCTGGTCCAGGATCATCTGAAGGATATCGATCTATGTTGCACAGACTAGAACTTGAAGGGCTTAGGGTACCAAGAGCAGTTGTTGCCACCATTCTTAGAGAACTTGACCCACAGGGTACCGAACTACGAAAATTTCATCGCTTAAAAAGAAGAGTTTATAGAAATCCTGGCCCAAATTATGCATGGCATATCGATGGCTATGATAAGCTTAAAGTGTGGGGATTCCCCATTCATGGATGTATAGACGGGTACAGCAGGAAAATAATATGGTTATCAGTCCTTCGATCAAACAATCTTCCTGATGGCCCTGCAGCACTGTATCTTAGCAGCGTTAATTCCTTAGGAGGGTGCCCAGTAGAATTAGTCAGTGACCTAGGAACAGAAAATGGCATGGCAGCAGCAATGCAAAGCTTTTTCCGGGATAATATGGATGCACATCGTTATGTTACTTCACAAAGAAACCAAAGGATCGAGTGTTGGTGGTCATTTTTGTCTAAACAACAGACGCAGTGGTGGAGAAGATTTTTTGCAGATCTTGAAGCTCAGGGCATATTGGACTCCTCTTGCGAGTTAAGAATGGAGTGTCTTTGGTACTGCTTTTCAGTTGTCATTCAAAGTGAATTAGATGCTGTAAGAGAGCACTGGAATACCCATTATATTCGGAAATCCCGACATGACACAGTGAATGGACGGCCAGACTCTCTCTTTTTTCTTCCTGAGCATCATGGCACAGTTGACATGTTAGTGCAAGTGTCTCAAGAGAAGATTAAATATGTGTCCGCACATGTGATTGATGAGGTACCAACACATGAACTTCAAGAGTATTTTGAGTATGTCAGGTTAAACATAGGTTATTCACGACCACAAACATGGCAAGAAGCTATAAACTTATATGAGAATTTAATTGATATTTCTGAACATGGCAGATAATAGGAAAACCATACGTTACCTGTATGTAATATTAATATTACATGCTAATTTTTGTGATTAAGGTGATACTTGTAGATTGAGTCAAATCGTCGAACAAAATGTTTAGATTTTTAATATAAACAAGTAATGTACAACTGCTGAATGAATCAAAGCCTGAAATAACGAAAACAAAATCTTCTTCCATTGTTTAATTAATATGTTTATTCACGCCTATTGGCCAGAAAGTCCAACCAAAATGAAATTAAAAAAAAAAAAATGTTTTGTTACTTCTGTTGGGCGAGTTCTTTCCATCACTCCTTGCGCGCTCACTTTTCCCTCACGAGAAACTTCATGTAAGCCTCTGCCACATAGGAGATATAACTTCTCTGTCACGGAATACTGTACAGAAAGCCATATCTATTGCTTTTTGTGTAAGCGTTTTCGTCATGATTAGTCATTCAACAAGTACCGTAAACAGAAGTAGTCACCCCCTGGAAATATACATGACTTTCTCTCACACAGCGCGATTTTGGATATTTCCAGGAGGTGTCTACTTTTGTTTAGGGTGCTTGCTGAGTGACAAATCATGACGAATAGCACTTACGAAAAAACAATGGGGATGGCATTCTGCGTAGTATTCTCTACCTCTGCAGATGAGAGTTTTATTACTGTATTTGGCAACTGAATTTCCAATGTACGAAAACATCTTTTATAAAGTAAATCCTGCAATGACTGCATGATAGTTTTAAATTTGTTAGACTATAATTTCACAGTATGTATTTGCTTGTGGAAAAAAATGGTTGTAAATCGTCGAATCAAATCATTATTTCAGGCTTTGGAAATATTAACAATTAACGTAACAACAAGAACTTGACAACAGTATGATTTTGTCTTCCCCATATTCGCACCAACTTGTTATTTATAAGTCATAATATGAATAGTCCCCCATTTTTTTCCATCAATATTACAGTAACATATCAATATGAAATTAATTACAATAATATTTGATGTATAACTGCAAGACTTTCAATTTCCAATAAATACAACATAATGTACGCTATATTAATATAGAAACTTAGTCAACTCAACTGGTGAAATGTGAAACAAATTTCACTGATATTTCCAATGAAAAGCTCTGAAAACCCACAACATCTTTTCAGAACATTGTTCAAGTTATGGCTTACCAAAGTTCTGACTTTTGGAGTATGCAACTAATAAATGGCTATGAAATTCATCTGAATCTACCATATGTTCCATTGGAAAAGTAATCTGCATTCCACAAGCCCCAATTAAAGGAAAACAAATGGTATGCTTTGGATCCCTAGATTTACAGTCATGATCAAAATAAATGGTAATCGACAATTTCTTACCATTTAATGGTATATGCTTCTGACCAGTTAGCCACATCATCATTCCAGATACATTCACCTCGGCCGTTTCGAACTTTTCCTCTTGTATCTTCTCCTCGTCTTCATCTTTGTAGTTCCAAGCAACTGGCGCTGAGTATCCAGTGACCTTCGTATCTTCAATGCTGTTCAAAAAGTCCTGAAAGTTATCCACAACTTTTTGCTCCAGTGTTCTTCGACTTGAACCTGGTTCAGAGTACTCTCGCTGCATGCAGGAGAAAAGATAATTTGCATCAATATTGTCTTGAATGAACCCTTGAACAAAGTAATACTTGCATAAACCAGGGGCTTTCTTTAGTAGCTCGTCGACACCATATAGTGCAAGGCCTTTAAGGTACAATACTCTCTTGTTAGCCAGACTGACAACAATAGATCGAACTATTTCATCCACATGGCCATCATCGATTACACCTGTGTACCCATAGTCTAATATTTTGTCTTGATTACCTTTGATGTCATTTCTAAATTTATTGACTAATTCCTTTTCCCTCTTGGTAAGATGTTGATCTATGTTTAGTTTCATCATATCAATATCTGGATTGACAAGGGTGTCATAAACACATTCTTCAAAAAGGGATGGACTCGGACCTCCTTGTGCCAGACTCACAGCAGCTATCTGTCCACACGTACGGAAATTGCCATTCTAAATGTGGTATGTGGAGTCAACGGGGCACCCATCAGGAAACATAGCAGAGCGCATATTATCCATACAGTCTGTAAGAAATTCTCTTGCAAGTGCCCCAGTGTCTATCACATCTTCGCCAACATATTTAACAGTTAGTCTCTGTGTAGGTGAAGATTTCTTTGTGGCACGTTGCCACAGGGAAAGTACCCTTTGAAAAGGTACTTTCCTTCTAATGACAATGAAGAATTGACTAGAATTGTCAGTCTTCTTTTCCAGGTGTTCTATGACTGATGCTTGATCAATGAATTCTTCTTTGGTTTCTTCAGATTTATCTTCTACCACTCGTATGCTATCTTCTACCACTGGAATGCTATCTTCCTCGTCAATCATGTTGATCTCACTTTCCACTTCTTCCTCAAATTGTTGCTGAAGCTCAATGGCGAATTTCTCATCGTTTTGGATTTGAAAATCTTCTTGTTTGTTGTTTTTAGCTACATCAACTTTTAAGCGTTTTGGAGTTGGATGTACATGAGGTTCAATGCTTGTACCATGGTCATCAGGAATATCACAGTTAAGCAAAGCATCTTCATTGTCACTGTCACTGTCAATGCCCTGAGAAATATTGTAGTCGAAAGATGTGCACAGAAATAACGTAATTCTGTTATAATCTTTTCCCAATTCTTCTTGATATCTTTCTAAGCTAAAGAACTCTTTTGTGGATCCAGGCAGAAAGAGGGCCTCTTCCCCATTCTCATACAGCAGAACATAGTCATCGCTTTCGGAGTACAAGTGACTCAGAGTAAAATGCTTTCCATTTCTCAACGGCTTGACTACAAACTGTTTTGTAGTTAGCCTTGTTGGATACACGAAGCACTAATTTCTTACCCCTTTTTGGTTTGAGAATACTCTCCTTAATATTCCATTCTAGCAGACCAATGTTGATGCACACATTACGTTCTTTCGACTTGGCGACTTGAAGTTTGTCTTCATCAGAATTTTTTGACGACACAGATTTTTTCCATAGCTTTCCTTTGCCTTTTTTGTATTCTGCAAATGATTTGATCTTCTTCGTTGTGGGAAAAAGACCTTTAGGCTTGGTTGGTAATCCACTTGTTCTACTACTGCTACTTGGCCCCGCTTCATCTTTCTCTACCACAACAATTTCTTGTTTTGCAAGATGATCGATACCTACGAAAACAAAAACTTTGATAAACATCGCGGATGCCCCGGACAAAAGTAGCCATATTTATTTTAGTTGGCTCAGTACATATAGCTTGACCCTCCTTTTTAGGGTAGGGAGAGGCTGGATCCAAATATTTGTGCAACTGAATAATAGAGGGTTATACTGAAATAAATGGATTGGTTGTAGCAAAGGGAATTTTTATGTTTACACACAAATGCCAAGCTTGCAATCAACCTCAGAGGCCAAGGAATTTACATATTATGCTCATGCAGTTGCAATTTCTATAAAGAGTATTAATGACTGCTGTCTGATTGATTTAACAGTGAAGGGAGTCAATATTCATCTTGGGTCAAAACGCCTATACCGCAGGTGTGGATTTGTAAGGGGCCGACTTAGCATGACCATGGTTGGCACAGAGCGGCAAAAATTGGATTGCCAAGATTGTCCGAAATTTCATACCCTGTAGTCTTCTGGATTCCAAAACAAAACATTGCTGATCTTGCTCGACTACTGTATTTGAATTGTTATTCACTTACATAATACCATTTGCAAGCAACTGCCAACTGCAAACAATTTTTAATGTTTGTTTACGTTTCAAACGTTGACGTTTGGAACCACAAACGTGCACATTTGACTGCGACATCCCCCCCCCCCATCCCCTTGTAAATCCATCCCTGGACTAATATGATAGACCACGTGAACATACCTATTTCCAATAATCCACTAAAATGAGTGCAACATTTATAAAGTATAATCAATTTACTCATATGATTTCAGGGAATAAAGGAAATAATTTTACAGGAAATAATTTTTTAAGGAAATAAAGTTTTTTAAGTAATCGCTGGGTTTACCTGGATTATTTATTTTATTTTTTATATTTAGAAACATACTGGATATAACAATTTATCTTTTTTGTGTGTGTGGAAGTGGGATTTGCAACCGATGTGACCAGCTGTCACGGGATGAAAAATTGGATTTGCATATGTGCAAATGTATGTGCAAATTTAAAGCGATTTCTAAAATCGCACATCTTTGACCACATTTGCACATATGCAAAGTTATAAATTGGCGTCGACTTTGCACCATGTGCCGGATTGCAAATACCGCTATGCCACGTATTGCAAATTTGATGCAAAGATGGTGTCGTTTTTTATATTTGCAGGTAATGCGAATTTGTGGCGAATTTTGGGCGAATATAGAAAATCGCAAAATAATCGCATATGATGCCATTATTGGTTCATTTTATTATTTGCAGTATAAATGCGAATTTGCTGCCAAATTCTTGCCAATTTGACATATGCATATTTGTTTGCCATATATATTTTTATCGATATTTGCAAATTTAGTGAAATTAATTACGTACTTTTGAATAGGCCAGTAATTTTAAATACTGGGTACATATATCTCGATATCGTCACAGGTATAATTTCCAGGTGTTATTTTGCTACGATCGCGAGCATGCATAGATTGGTTGTTTCCTGGACCACTTGAGTACAAATTAATATAAGATACAATACATTCTAGGTTTCGACTAATCTATATGGGCATCCCCGAAACGCAGAATTATATAAAAGTAAAAAATTTTGGAGCCTCCTGTGTACTTCATTTGATCAAAAATAAACAAAGTGAATGTTTTACATTATTCATATTTATTGAATATATAGTTACAATGGTATCTTCATTCAATCCGTAAGTCAATATTGTCATCAATTCATTATAATAAATATTAAACTATCATTGTAGTTGTGGCCTTTGTGACCTTAACTTAGGCATATTGCGGGCCACATTAAAGTACAAATATCATGCATGAATCAATATGTAACGGACAAAGTTCAACGATATGTAACCTGAGTAAAAGTTTTCTTTAGGCATACCTAAAAGAGGAGAGAGAAAAATATTAAAACAAATGAAATGTTAGATTAATTTAAATCTGAAGCTAGTTAAAATGGCAGGTTAAACGCGCGTCAATGCTGAGACAATCGCTAGTAGTACCGGGTCAGCGGTTTTTGGATGTCGCACGACAGTCCACACTAATTAACTCGCTACTCCCTCGATCACTTGCTGTAGTCGAATAGATGTTGGGCCAATAGCGAAGCCCATTATCCACTTTGCGAATTAGCTCTTACTAATAAAAGTGAAGTCCGTTTTCATGCGCCGAAATTAATATTAACCGTTTCCATAATTGCGTCAGCCGTGGGAACCTGTAACTCATTCATAAGAATTATGAAGCAATCGCAGGCCAGGGGAGTACTTATGACGCAATTATCGAGTAGATGCATTAAGTGCGAATTACTGTGACGAAAAAGCAACTTAATGACACAATTGAGGTACGTGATCTTCGAAACAATCCATTCGAGCCAACCACGAACTTGCTCAAGGCACATCAGTTCTCTTCAAGGGCGGATCATAAACTCGAAAAAAGGAACACAATTTAGCCAATCAATTTAGGGCTTAACTGGCAATCAATGAAGAAATTTGATGCCTAAGTTCATCCTAGGCTTCTCGACCATGTAATTGTCATTTGAAGTGATTGATAGCGCGTAGGAAGTGGCGTCTACTGGTTGCAACACAGAGTGGCAAAACATGGAAAATCGATCTGAAATATAACCGAAACGCTTCAAACCAGTTGATTACTATATTTTTAGCGAATTTATATGTAAAATCAATTGAAGGACCATGTGATAAATAAACTTAGTATAAGTTTGAATTCGTCAATATGCAAGGCTGCTCACTGCTGAGAAAGGTTCTCAACCTCGTTTCCAGGTCTAATATTGGATCACACTTGTATGTATAATTATACGTTACATCGTATAACAGGAAATTACACTGAGTATCAAAAACGAGGAATATAGTTGTTTAAAGATTACACCATTTAATAACTGTTCCCTGCTAGGTTATTTCCGCAATTCCGCCAGGATTGGCGTCACGTCGCGCAAAATATTTAAATATTATCTTCCTACTATAAACTCTCCTCACCAGGAGGGCCTGCACTCAAAACGTCGGGAATTTCCATGAAATCACACTAACATTATTCTACGCAGTGATCAGCACTCATACAGCCTTATACTGAAGTATATTATATTACACGAAACTATATTCCTGGTCCCTCCATGCTTTTACATATTAGTGAGCTAAACGTAAGATACTTTGTTATAAAGAGCGACTCAAACTAAACAGCCAAGTTGTCGAAATTTTGAAGGCTAACGCCAGCATGAAATTTCTTGATCGACTTCAGGTTAAGCCTCTGTTCTCCACGAGGTTTAGCACGAATGGTCCGGGTTTAGTTTCTTTCTTCGAGCTAAGATTACCAATAACTCGACTCAATTAATTGTAACAGAATTTGAAGCGACAAAACTTCAGCATAATTAAGTTCCGAGCCACCCCCCGTGTTATTTCTCCTCCAACATGGCATATATCGGCAATAAACCTTTTTTTATAATGACTACAACTCGAATAAAAACTTAAAGCAATGTCCCGCGGACAATGTTTAGCAACATCTTGCACTGCAAATACATAAAATTTGGTTGGCTGAGCAATGATTTGATTGTAAATTTGTGTTAATTCACATCGCATTAATTAAGTGCTTATTCGCCCTGACGTCATTATGAGAAAGGTCTAAAATTCGGCGCATGAATAATAATAATAATAATAATAATTTATTAATTTATAAAGCGCTAAAACTATAAATATTCTAAAGCGCTATCATTACAAATTCAAATAAAATGTTATAAAGTATGAGATGATACCTATATATACATGTTTAAAATTTACTATTATATTTAAAGATAAAATGCCTTTTTAAAAAAGAAAGGTCTTAAGTCTGTTTTTAAAAGTTTCCACTGTTGACGCCTCACGAATGTCAGCGAGAAGTTCAAATTTACTATTATATTTAAAGATAAAATGCCTTTCTAAAAAGAAAGGTCTTAAGTCTGCTTTTAAAAGTTTCCACTATTGACGCTTCACGAATGTCAGCGGGAAGTTCATTCCACAAAAATGGACCAGCCTTGGCAAAAGCTCTGTCGCCAAACGTTTTCCTCATTGTCTTAGGAACTATTAGCAAATTTTGCTCATTCGAGCGCAGGCTGTAGCAACCAATATGCTTAGGTGTCAGAAGGTCTGAGATATAAGGCGGTGCATTAGCATGAAGAGCCTTGTACACCAGCAACAAAATCTTGAAAATCACCCGATACCGTACAGGAAGCCAATGAAGGCCAATCAAAACGGGAGTAATATGATCGAATTTGGGGATTAAACAGACCACACGTGCTGCAGCATTGAGAACTCTTTGTAACCTATCATATTGAGACTGTGGGAGACCATAAAACAATGAGTTACAGTAGTCCAGGTGTGAAGTAACAAAAGCATGAACCAAAATCTTTGTTGTATCTTCTGAAAGGAATTTCCTTATCTGCCGGATATTATAGAGGCTGCGAAACGCCTTACTACACACTTTTCCGATGTGAATATCCATCGACATATGTGAGTCAAACCACATTCCGAGGCTTTGAACCACCTCCACAGGCTCGATCGTAGATTCACCAACTGTAATTTCATTGATGTTAATCTTTGACATTTGCTGCTTTGAACCGATGATAATAAATTCAGTCTTGGAATCATTTATCAAGAGACGGTTAGAAAGCATCCAGGCACGAATGTCAGCAACACAGTTTTCAATACTCTTTAGTGCGGCATCTTGCGATAAAGATGTATCCGGCCGAAACGATTGATAAATCTGGGTGTCATCTGCATATGTATGTGCATTGGGAAGATGTTTATCAATAACCTTAAATAACCCAGCCACATAGAGTATGAAGAGAACAGGGCCAAGGCAGCTGCCCTGCGGAACTCCCGATTGAAGATTGAAAACTTCCGATTCATGGTCTTTAATTAAAATTGTTTGTTTTCTCTTGGATAAATAAGATGTTAGCCATTTGAGGGCATTTCCTGTTACGCCAAAGTCTTTTTCAAGTGTCTCCAATAAGATAGCATGGTCGATAGTATCAAATGCGGCACTTAGGTCGATAAGCACAAGA